TAACGGCTATGTCACTGGACTCCCATGTAGTCGACTGCGGTTCACATCCCGGACCCAGTGGCTTAAAACTCACACCAGGCGTGTGTGCGTGCGTGCCCAAGATCCCGAGAGGAGAATGGAGAAGAAGGGATTACAGTGTGACCATCCCCCCTGGGGGGTGATTTCTCGCTTTCTGTCTCTCTGTCTCTCTCTGTCTGTCTGGTGAGTGCACGTGCCCTATAGCAAAAACCTCTCTCAAAAAAAAAAAATTAAATATGATTGTATTTTCAGTAAGGGCAAAAAAATGGGAAGGTACTTTAGAAGGGATGACTTTGACAGTACATGACTAATATAATATTTTGTTACTCACAGTGTGGCTATGTGTTACAAATCATTATTACTTTGAATATTAATAACATAAATGTTTTCATATCTTCCCCCTTACTAATTTTGGCATTTATACATTGACTACCTGCCCTACAAAAAGGTGAAAGATATATTCTATGCTTCCAAGAGATTACAGTCCCTTTGGGGAAATAATTTAATAGAAAATTATAATGTGGTGTGGTATGTTTAACATACATTTTTCCTTTGGTTTAGTAGCTCAGTTTATTTCAGTAAGAAGGTAAGTGTGTATTTGCGTAGTTCTATCTCTTGTTCTATTGATGAGTTGTAGTTAAAAGTACACAAAAGTATTTTCTCCCATCACAATCAGTGATCTTTTGTGGTAAGAGCAACTCATAATCTATCCTTAGCTATTACTTGTGTGGAGCTTGTCTTTTACAGTTCGCCTCTTGATTGCACTCTGGTTTATGAACAAAACGGTTAGGACATGTTCCCTTCAATACTTCAGAGAGTAATATTCTCTGATTAAACTGTTAGGTTTGTGTTCATTTGAATTAGTTTTAAATTATGCTAATGTAATGAATCTAGATAAGGGGCTAGCCAGTGACACAGTGGTGCTACAACTGGACCCACAGAGGAACTGTCCTGGGTTTGTATCCCGGGACCTCCCTGAGCACGCCCAGTACGGAGATTGCAGTTTGGGAATCCTGTTGGAAGTCTCTGCTTCTCTGTCTCTCTCAAAAGAAACAAATACAATTTTTAGAAACTACTAAAAACTAAACTAAAATAAAACTAAGAAATCTAAACTATGTCATTTAAATGTATACACTTTATATTTTGTTTGGAGATGTTACCAGTACATTTTAATAGTAATTTATATTTTGACCACTAGATGGCACTAAACACATATAACTAAGAAAAAAAAACTAACCTTTTGTCTCAAGTTTTCTGAATATAGAAGATGAAGTATATGAGTGTTTTCAGCACTACACACTGGGAATTTTTTGTTATCCTGCCCATAGATTCCTATTGCTATAAAATCTTTGTTATTCAATAATCTACCGTGTGACTCTTAGGTATAATAAATTCTGTGAGATATAGATAGCATCTGAAATTACTTTGATACTCACCTACGCATTAAACTACACTATTCTTAGCCATTTAGTCTTATTATTATCTCTATCCTTTTTTTTGAGGGGGGGGGAAGGCAGGGGCTGGTAGAGAACACGTGCTTACCAGAGAGAGAGAGAGAGAGAGAGAGAGAGAGAGAGAGAGAGAGAGAGGAGAAAGCATCCTTCCCCCTTAGGAGATGATCATGCCACAATCCCTTCTCCTCCATTGCTTCCGCTTTTTAAGATTTTGGGCATGCTCACACACATGCCTGACCTGTTTCTCAAGCAACTGCATCCAGAATTCAAACTGTAGTTGGCATGTGGTTCTGTCTGCTTTGACCACTGAGACACTTAGCCGGCCCAATATTACTTAGTTCCTACATTGGTCTTTTCTTATACTACCTTCACTACCCTGAAAAAATAGAACATATGTTTTAACTATTTTAAGGACCATTACATAGCTTCTGTGATACTAAGAGTTCCTACAAAATTACAAACAAACACCTCTGTGCAACAAAGAGTCCTCAACATCTTCCAAGAGTGTCTTCCCAATGTGCTAGGTCGTTTTGGACAAATGTTCTCATCCATTGTCCCACCTAGTATAAGGGGAATATTTAATTGTAGTAAGGCTAAGAAGAAAAATGTTCCAATGAAGGCAATTATTCTCCACCAGTTCGTACTCCTCCACCTTCAGCATGCATATGGTATAAATGAGATTGGCATTATTGTTTAAAGGATCACATAATACTGCCCTTACCAGGCCTGTTTTCTTCTCCTTTTCTCTGATATAAATAGAAAGTTGTTTACTTACACTGACAGTGAGACACGGGTTCTTGTTCGTAGACACAGTAAGTATAGCAAAGTGGGGAATTTATTAAAAGAGAGGGGAGGGGGGCCAGCAGGTGGTGTGTTGATTAAGGTGCTGGACACTCCCACATGACCGACCATGGTTCAAGTCCTAGACCTCGTGTCTTGCTTTCTCACTTTCTCTCTCTCGCTCACTCTCTCTTGTTAAATTAAAATAAATGAATGAATAAATTTTTTAATTAAATATTTAAAAAGAGAGAGGAGAGGAAGAAGAAAGCTCCCAGGAAATTAGTTGCCCACAATGTATTATTTTAAGATGCTCTAGGCTGTGAATAATAGATTTCCTCCCAACTTAAGTTACTTTTGAACTGAGTAATTTCACACAACCACAGGAAGTCCAGAGGTTGGTGATATTTCCAATGGTGGTTAGTTCAGTGACTTAATCAGACACAGTGATGTCATCAGGGCTCCACATTCCTTTGCCATCCCTGGCACAGCGGAAATATGTTCTTCGTGTTGAAGATAGTAGTTATAGTTTTACACAGAATTGGTCATCACGGCAAGCTCTTGCAATAGAAGCGGGGGCGCTTCTCCTTCTGTGGGTATCTTTTTATTGATTGTATATATTACTCCAGCGTCTCCCAGCAGAGTTCTCCCCAGGTCTCACTGATTTTTGCATGGACCCCTGCACCTTCCTAACAATCTACTGGCAGGGGAAAGAAATGAGTGTGATAGATGTCTATAGAGATCCAGGTCCTCTCTGAGCACACAGCTCCTGAGAGGAGGATGTAACCCCAAACAAAATGAGAGTACTCTCCAACAAAGAAAAAAAAAGAGAGAGAGAGAAACAGGCTGGCAGACAGCAATACCGACCACCATTGCTATGTGTGTTTTAGTTATAGACTCCTGTCTTGATATCTTGATATTCTTGGTAACTATCATCCTGTTGATTCAAGTGCATCACACTAGACAGTTACAGATGTGACCCAATCAGGTTACTGCAGACTCTGTCATTCAGTACAGCTCTTTAACCCTCTGTTTTGTCTATGGATATGTCCTTTTCCACACAGTTAAAGGAAGTAAGAACTCAGATTTCCTTTGATCTATGGAGTCGTCTAAAAAGTCATGACATGTTTTTCTATGCAACAATGTGTCATGACTTTTCTGACAACCCAGTGTTTATTAGTGATATTGTCCCCAGAGAACTGTATTTCTAGAATTATAAATCTGCTGGCATTTTAACCAAATCTGCAGCTATCTGCTAATACCCACACTTTCAAGTGCTTCCCTGAGGCAAGCACTTTGAGGAGTCTGGCCAGACTCTGTGAAGACATTGTCACTGTCTGCCCTGGTACTCGGCCTAAACCTATAGACTCTACAGACCCAGAGGGGCAGAGCCAGCAGCCCCAGATTAGTGATTCAAGCCCTTTAACAGTTGCTTCAATGGCAGTGCCTTCTGGCCTTTTCTGGCTTGTTTTGTTGTTTTTTTTTTAATTTGACATCTCGGCACTTCTCAGAAACTACACACTGGCTCACCTGGTATGAGCTCCTTTCTGAAACAACACTCCTGTCACTCTGAGAAGCCCAGGTCCGTTTTTGGGCTGCTTCATGGCAAAAATGTGTTCCTGTTGCATTATCTGAATATTTGCTTCTTGTCTGTATTCATCAGATATTTGTTGAATGGTTGAAAGAATATTAATCAATTGCTATTTCAGGGTTTGTCTAATAGCTTACTGGTTAAGGAAGTCAGATCCCCAGTGGCTAACTACACAGTTTAAAAGCTGGCTCCAACAACTTGGAAAAAATTCTGGGTGTGTGTGTACATGTCCAAAATCCCAACAGGATGGGGGAAATGAAGGAGAAGGTATATGGCATGACCATGCCCTAGGGGGTAGGGAGGAGCTTTCTCCCTGTGTCTCTTTCTTTTTGGTGAGAACGTGTACCCTATGGCAATATAAAAATAGAATAAGAATATGATTAATATTTCAAATACAGTAAAGTTTTTACTGGTTTAAAAGTGTTTTTAATATTGTATTTATTGTGCTCTATTTAAATACTAATCGGTTCTTGTTGAGTAGCTAAACAATATCAACTAACATTTTCAATCCTTTTTTTAAAAATTATTTTTATTTAACTTTATATATTTATTCATCCATTTTAATTTGACCAGAGAGGGAGGGACAGAGAGAGAGAAAGAGAGACAGGGAAAGTGAGAAAGCAAGCTGCCAGGGCCGGGACTCAAACCACAGTTCAGCCATGTGGAAGTCCAGTGCCCTTAACCACCATGCCACCTGCCAGACCCTCAGCCATCATTTTAAAAATAAGAGATGTGAAGTATTCTTAAAAAGAATTAGTGTTGGTGGGGCCAGCACATAGCATAGAAGTTGTGTCACTGGACTCCCACATGGCCAACTGCAGTTTGAGTTTTAGACCCCCTGGCTTGAAACTCACACTGGGTATATGCACACACATGCCCATGATCCAGGAGGAGAATGCAGGAGAAAAGATGGTGACATAACCATTCCCCATGGAAGGTTATTCTCACTTTCTGTCTCCCTGGCTCTGTCTCTGCCTCTTTATGGCAAGCGCATGCACCCTAAGGCAAAACCTTTAAAAAGTGAGAGAGAGTTAGTATTGGCAACATTGCTATTAATAGATTGTTTGAACCTAGTGTTTTAGTTTTGAAAGACATAAGCTTGTTTATGAATATGCTGAGTCTCTTTTTAAAAGAGAAATCTTGATATTTTTATTTTCCAGAAAATTGTGGAATATATTTTCCAGAAATAAAAAGAAATCCAGGAAGATATTTACACAGTTGTCCAGAATCTGTAAAAAAGTGGCTTCATCGGCTCAAGAATGCTGGGAAAGTTCTTGTGTTAATTACCAATTCTCACAGTGATTACTGTAGACTTCTCAGTGAATACATCCTTGGGTAAGTAATGAGTCATTCTGTTTTAATTGTCCTACAAAATACTGAAAATAAATTATACCTGTGTTTTCTTAAAAGTGCTCAACAGTTGTCTAGATGCATTGTGTTGCTTAGATATGCTGGAGCCATATAAAAGGCCTGGTTCGGACCCCAGACTGACCAGAACACACCAGGGGAAGCATATCTGTGATTCTGGCTGAATGGGGTAAAAGGATCACAGTGTGGTGAAACTCCGTCAAGGGTGCCTGTGTGTGTGTGTGCGTGTGTGTGTGTGTGTGTGTGTGTGTGAAAAACAAACTTTAAAAAGTGCTCAGCCATGACCATATTATAGTAAATAATGCCGAGTGACACCTTTTATTTCTCCATGAAGAGAGAGAGGCATAGCCACAACAGTGTTCTCACACCGCAATCTACCCACAGCCTTAGCCAGCCCAAATCACAGGTGCTCCCACCACGTGTGTACAGGGAGACCTCAGAATACAAACCTAGGATCTTTCATATGGGTCCAGCATTGCAGAGTGTTGTGTTCCTGCTGCACCATCACCCCGTTCCACAAGTCTGTATGTGTGTTTATCATAACATACTTCAATATCTGCTGATAGCAAACACCCAAGTAGGTTTGAGTGAAGCAGTGTTACTGGGAGCCAGTTTGCCAAAGGCTCACTGACGGTGTGGGGTTCAAGTTTTCTACAAAGTGGACAGACCACAGGTCCTCAGCCTCCCATGAATTTGGCGCCTCAGCTTTGGATGATCAATGAAAGACACTAAGTTGTAAATTACACTCTCTAGCAGATGCGAGGAGGGCAGCCACTCTGCAGCCATCTCAGTGTGAAGATTTGTACTTTACTATTTATTTAGCACAACCAACGATGGGACTGACGTTCGTGAAAAATGAAGGCAGTATAAAGGCGTAAAGTTTATTTATTATTTATTGATTTATTTATTTATTGGAGAGTTTTTTTGCTATAGGGCGCATGCGCTCACCCAAAAGACAGAGAGACAGAAAGCGAGAAATCACCCCCCGGGAGGGATGGCCACACCGCAATCCCTTCTCCTCCATTCTCCCCTCATGATCTTGGTCACGCACATGCCTGGCATGAGTTTAAACCATCAGATCCTGTTGACTATGTGGGAGTCCAGCGACATAGCTATTATGCCTACTGCTGCTCCCAAAGGTGTAGACTTTAAAATAAAACTGATGTAGGTCAGTATATTGCTCTGCAACTTACTACATGACCCAGGGCAGGTTTTATGACATTCTCTAGCCTCAATTTCATCACCTTAAAAAATGAGGCAATTATCCCTTATAGGTATAAAGAAATGTTTAAACAGCATAAACCAAGTAATTTAGGCAGAGTAGTTTAAGTAAGTGTTAATACTTATTTATGTCATTCTTGTGGGCAGTAGTAGAAAATATCCATGGTTAAAAAACAAGGTTCTGCAGTCAAATGTTAGATTTCTCCTAACTTTTCCTCAAATTTCAGCAAATACCAGATTGCCATGAGTATAGAGCAAGTTTAGCTTTGAAATCAACCACATACTTTTCAAGCCTCATGATTTCCATGACTTTTAGCATAGATACATTTAGTTTTGTCCTGTGGTGTACTTACAATGTATGAGTGAATTCTCTGCTTTCTGAATAATGCGTAGTCTTGAGATCCTTGAAGTGGATTAAGGCTGAAGTCTCTGATGCCTTGAAAGGTGCCTCTTACAGAGACATTTGCTGCCCTTCTACTGGGACCATGACTCAGAATAAACACCCAAAGTTTTTATTCTTTTTTCATTAGAGTAGCTAACCACAGTCTTTCTTTCCATCTTAATTCCTATTAATGCAGTTTTGATTTGTAAAGATATTCTGGAATGTTGGGTAAATGTTGTCTCCCCAAAGTGCTAGTGAGTCCTCAGGAAGAATGACTACCTTTCTTGTCCCAATCCAAAATAAACCTTAATACAATACTAAATATAGATTTAAAAAGTTATTGTCATCTAGAAATTGCCACAATATAAGATGATTTTCAAAATAAAGTATTTTCAAGGGCCAGATAGTGGCACAGTAGTAAGCTATGAGGCTCTATAAGGCAGGCCTGTGTGAGAAGGTTTCCCCTTCAAGCGTGGAGCCCTCCCTCAGTACACCAGGCACACATTTGCCCATGATCCAGGGCTGTCTGAAGGCTGGCGGTAGATTGCAGCCTCAACACCCTGTCAAGGATGCTGGGTGTCTGTCTGTCTGTCTCTCTCTCTCTCTCTCTTCCTCTTTCATTTGAGGAAGAAAGAACCAACCTTTTTAAAAAGTTTTTAAGTAAGGTATCCTTGTGCTTTGAACACTTTCCAAAAGATGTCACCTGATTTGCTGTAGTGCTACTTTCTGTAGGACCCATGTAACACTGAGTTGCTATTGATAATCACTCTTTTTTTTAATTTTTAAAAATTTTCTATATATTTTTATATACATTCAATCACATTGTTTAGCTTATGAAGTGAATATTTCAATATGTGAGCATTTCTCCCAGTCCAATTGATCAAAATATCTTCAACAGATAGCACCACATTTCCCCATTCCGTTGATGCTCTGCCTCTGTATCCTACCTCCCAATGTCCTTCCCTAGGCCCCACTCCTCCACACACACCACATCTGGCATTCACAACCATCTCTTGTGTTTGTATATCTTTTAGTCAATCAGTTTCAGTCATAGAGTGCAGACACTTGGTATATTTTAAGTGGGGACATACAGTATCTCTCCTTCATAGTCTGGCTTGCTTCACTCAGCAGTAAATCTTCCATATTCTTCCACTTTCTGTCAAAAGCCCGGGTTTTGTTGGTTTTTATGGTTGAATAGTATTCCACAGAGTATATGTACCACAGTTTTTCAATCCATTCATGCATACAGAGGCATTTGGGTTGGTTTCATGTCTTAGCAATCGTGAACAGTGCTACAATAAACATCAATGTACAAGCACTTTTCCAATTAAGAATTCTTCTGTCCTTTGGGTAGATACCGAGGAGTGGGATTGCTGGATCATATGGTAGTTCTATTCGTAGATTTTTGAGGAATCTCCAAATTGTTCTCCACAGTGGCTGCACCAATTTACATTCTCACCAGCAGTGTAACAGAGTTCCCCTTTCACCACACCCCCACCAACACTTATCACTTTTTGTTTTTTTAATCTTAGACATTCTGACTGGGGTTAGGTGGTACCTCATTGTTTTGATCTGCATTTCCCTTACAATGAGGGATGTTGAGCGTTTTTTCATATGCCTTTTGGCTATTCGTATGTCATCTTTAGAGAGTGTTTTTTTTTAATCCTTCTCCCATATTTTAATAGGGTTGATTATCTTTTTTCCAAACAGTTTCTTTAGTTCCTTGTGTATTCTGGTTATCAGTCCCTTATCTGATGCATAATTTACAAAAATATTTTCCCATTCCAAGGGTTGTCGATTCACACTAATCACTCTTCAAGGCAATAAATCCAGATGGATTATGTTCTCCAGATTTGAAGATACAGCTCCCAAATATTTGTAGCTGATAGGAACTACTGAATTTACCACCATTACTATTCCCATCATGAGAAAGCCAGTTCTATACCTGAAGTCACTGTGCTGCTGTTTTGAGGGGTTACGTTCATACTTCAGGGTCTTGTTAGGAAGACTGGTATTCAATTGCCCTCAATTCCCACTGTAATAATCACCTTAAAATATATAAGTAAAACATAAAGTATGTAAAAGTTGATCAAAAGATAGCAAATGATAGGGTTGGCTCTACAGTACAGTGGTTAGGGCAGCTGGCTAATCACAGTTCAAATCTTGGCCTGGTAGCTTGACAAATATGTGCTCAAAATTCTGATGGAAACTGGAACGGAGGAAAAAAGGTCAGGGGCTACCAGACCATGCCCAACTGGGGAATAGTTTTCTTCTTCTTTTTCTCTCCTTCTCTGGAGAGCACATGTACCCACTGGCAAAAAAACTAACCATTTTTAAAAAGGTGGAAAATGCTGTGATACAATAAAAAACAGATAGGCAAAAAGTAAGCTTTTAGACTTTTGTAATTCTTCAAGATACATTTAAGAAAGATTTTGTTGCATTTCAGGGACGATTTTGCAGACCTTTTTGACATTGTTATAACAAATGCATTGAAGCCTGGTTTCTTCTCCCATTTACCAAATCAGAGACCTTTCTGGACACTTGGTAAGTTATGTTTTGTTTGTTTCTTCTCTACAAGATTTGTTCATTTAGTTACTCAGCAAATGCTTGTTAGCAACCATGTGCAAAGTATTTTGCTAAGTGCAACACCAGACCTTCTTCCCCCTGATAGTAG